AGACATTTAAAACCATTCTATTCAAACAATAATAATAATAAAAAAAAGGTTTTGGCTGGAGTAGAAGTTTGCATTGCTGGGGGTATAGCCTACAATTTACAGACCTATAAAATGGACTGGACAGGGCAAACAAGTAACAGCATTCGGCCTAATATGGCAACTGGCAGCCACTGTTTATATGCAATTACTTAGAGGGCTTTGTCACTGGCAGAAAGAGGAGATTTATGTTCAGGCAATTTAGGTAAAGCTTTAGCTAGTAATAAGGATTTTAGCCCTTGAAAGCAAGACCTGTATAGGAAATGGGAAGATAAATGTTTGGAGGGTGGTCAGAAAGACACATTTAGCCCACACAGGGCTGCCGCACTTAATTTATGGCTGTTTAAATGTCCACTAGGTAGGGGATTTAGCATCACATTCTCTGCTTGTTTCCTGATTAATGCTACCCACTTTCTATAATGCAGTGTGGATTAAATGTCAAAGAATGACCTATTGTTGTTTATAAAAGTAGTTTCAGAAGATCTGTCCACAGAACACAAAACATCTCGATAGCGACCATCTAGAAGCAAGGGCTGTTCACCGACAGTTTGCACCCTGCTTGGTTGGTGGATTTGTCTGTCTAGATGTAGTTGTCAGCATTTAGTAAAGATGTCCAATGCTTGGTATAGTTACCTTTGGGAATCAGTAGCAAGTGTAGTACATAGGTAAGTGAATCACGGCACACCTCCTGACCATTATTACTAAAAGATGTGATTTTGCTCCAGGTGGGTCTGCCGCTACAATTCTCCACACATCTCACAAAGTTGGGTGCTAGCTCAGACTGGCTGTGCACAGTGAAGAAATCATAGGAATCTGTACAGCTGCACTCCAAAAACATCATCCATCTTTATTACAGATATAAAAGTACCATCATACAGCAAAAAGTTACTGTGGGGTAGAAGAAAAGTCAGATATCATATGTACTCTCCAGCGCCTCAGGATTTGCACAGCCAAAAGGGAAGCCAAGGGTACCAGGACAGCGACAGCCAAAGGAAATGCTTCAGGGGTGCAGCCCTCCTCAGACGGGGAAATCATCCACTGGATAGAGAGAAAACAGGTGGCACACACACCTAGTGCATTATCCAAGGTTTATTGTAGGAGTGAAAGAATAATAAAAACATACTCACAGACGAAGCATGTATCTAAAAAGCATAGAAAAATGACAATGGCCACAACGGCAGGCCTCGAGGCATCAACAGCAAGGCTCCTACTTTCCATTCATCATACATCTGCATCAGAGGTTGGTCATCAGCTCTGAGGAAAAGGATTCGTCCCCGAAACGCGTCATCCATTTGACCGCACTGACACTGAGAACACCTTGCCTGCCGTTGTGGCCATTGTCATTTTTCTATGCTTTTTAGATACATGATTTGTCTGTGAGTATGTTTTTATTATTATCTTTCACTCCTACAATAAACCTTGGATAATGCACTAGGTGTGTGCGCCACCTGTTTTCTCTCTATCTAGAAGAAAAGTCAACACCTTTCGCTCTCTGTCAGTGCTTACCCATGACACCTCTCAACCATGTCTTCATCTGCTTTTCTTTCCATAATAATGGAGTCATCTTTGTTCAGGTATCATCCAGGGCCATAAAGAGAAAAACTACCAACACTCAGTGCTACACTTGTTGCTTATTACAATCAAGGGATCTTAAATAATCAGATGAATGGTGTATGAGGGACTGTATCAACTCTATATGAGGGTAGGTACACCTCAAATAATGTTAATACGCATTATTTGTCAGCCTCAGATGAAGGAGGTTTAGTTTGGCCTTCAAAACGCGTTCCTGATTGGCTACAGAGTCTGTGGCATCTGACAGCTCCTTTGACAGCTCCCTTCTTGAGTCTCCCGTAGCGGTTCTCTGGCAGTTTATCCTGATCCCTGGCTTCCACAGCGCTCCTATCTGTAGGGACTGGACTCGACACTGGTGGCTCCACATGAAGCTTGTTATATGCCTGCTTAAGGCCTCGTTCACACCATATGTGCAGAACAATGGATGGAAACACACAGATTTCACTTGCAGAGACATCAGTTCTACATCAATTTTCATGCGTACTGCAAAGAGTTTTATACACGTTACAGATTTCTGTGCAGAAAAAAAATTGCACATGATTCTAGTGTTGTGGTGTGATAGAGCACAAACAAAACAATTGATTTCAATGTGCCCTTGCAGAACGCATGTAGAAAAACTGATGTCTCTGTACTATGGTGTGAACAAGCCCTTAAGCAACTTTTGTGAGTGCAATTTATTGTATTTTAACTTCTTGGCACCGATGGTACGCAAATATGCGGCTTTCAGTGCCTGGGCCTTGACGCCGAGAGGCCACATATTTGTGTACCCAAAGTATACAAATGTGCCAAGAGCGCATACCTCACAGAAAGGTCCCAATTGCTACTTGTGATCAGAAGGTTTCCGAACATGTGACCACTGTGATAGCCAATCATGGCGGTCATATAATCCTAAAGTCTGCCCCGCCTTCCTGCGTCACAAACCCCTTAAGAGGCCAGGAGGCTCTGACGCACAGGATTTAACATACACTGTTGAATAAATCCTGCTACAGCATTTGCAGTTTGGCACCTCTTTTTCTCTTTTCCCATCATCCAGGGCCAACATCTACTTCCTGGAGTTGCCATCCCATAAATGACCAGGTGTCTGTGCAGTTCTTGCCATTTTTCACAAATATCTTACGCAAATCAGCCCCTGCTGCAGCTCTCACTAAGTAGACTGATGACATTAGTTCAACCTAGGCAATGTCACTGGACTGCCTTTCATCTTTTATTGGAACACGTTAAGAATTAAAATATATAGACTTGTAAAGTTATTTAAAAATTTGCCTAAAAGCCTAACTATGAGCATAAAAAAAAACTACCCTTGCAGTGGACCCCTCCAACATTGCAAGGGGTGGATGATACATTTTTCCCAGGGGTGGCGGACTAAGGAATAATACTTACTTTATTCTTTACTCCAGCATGATCCCACCAATGGCTTGATGGGTCCCACAAAAGCCTCTTCTATATGGCGCTCATGGCCATAGTTGCAATTCTGCATCCTCTATGCACAGTATAGGGATAATAGCCCTGTATTGTACATGATGACAGTGAGGGACCGTCCACAGTCCTGAATGGTGGCTGAAGCAGAGCTAAGGTAACCAATTCAGGTTTTACATCTGCACGAAGATGTAACAAAGCTGTACCTTTACAGTGTGTGGGGGGGGGGGGGGTGCACTTGAAGGGCAGTTTTTCTTTCTTGTGCCTGGAGTTGGGCTTTAATGTATCCCTTTTGTGCCTAAAGCCAAAATGTGTTTCTAGTTTTAGATACAGTGGGTAAGTGTTAAAAACCCTGTCAAGCATTGCCATCTGTGTTCCCACTGTGGATATTCACAATCTCAGTTTTTCTCATGCTATAATTGGGTTATTGAATATTTTTCACAGTGTGAGGTTAGGTGGTCTTGGGTTCAGCCACCTCAGAACTATAGCCTTCCGAATGAGAAAGAGCATCTCCGTAAGAAATATTTGAGTGTAATGGCACCATTGGTCATGAAAACTTCTGAGTTGAGAAGAGCCTGTTGATTCAACAAATTAGAAAGAAAGTCAACCATTTTCCTTTCAGAAGTTAAAAATTAATGGGTACCTCCATACCATATGTCACCTAAACAGGAAATGAGGAAAAATGTTCTAACTGTCCAGTAACAGTTGTCTAAGGGCTCATTCATATTGTTCTTGGATACACACTGCCTAGATCAGCATATTTGTGCAGTGAGTACTGAGAGGTTGGAACAAAGACAAAAAGGGAGGGCACACTAGTCTAGTCACACCTAGTGCATTATCATAAGAGCTCTGATGAAGAGGTCAATGGCCCCTGAAATGTGTAAGCTACACCCCCTGAGGATGGGCAAGGTTCAAGAATTTGGACTGGACTTTTGTGAGTATATTGGAGTTTCCACATTTTTTATTAAAACAATGTTGGGAAAAAATGCACTAGACTGGTGCGCCCTCTCTTTTTGTCTTTGTTTCAGCTGTGGCCTAAGGATCTCCCTTATCTGAAGTGGGCAGCAAGGTCTATACATTGCAGAGTTCCTCATGGCTGGTTTATTCCTCTATACGGTGAGATCGGAAGAGGAGCACTACCATCTCTTATAGACTCATATACTTAAAGAGGAGCTCGTCTAATTTTGAAAATGTAAAAGTCAGCACCTAGAAAAACTGTAGATGCTGACTTTTACTAAACAGATACTCACCTGTCCCAGGATCCAGTAATCTCCTCACTTGAACACATTGTTCCACCAGTCTTTGGTTCCCAGGCGGCGGCGTTTTAGCTGTGAGCACCTGGCTGTGACAGCTTCTGGCTTCACCGCTGGGTGCCCACAGTGCATATGCGAGCCGCACTGCACATTGTGAATGGTTCTGCAGCCTTCTGGGACCTCTGGACAAAGGGAGGGGGGGAAGTGGGAGCGGGTACCTATGAAAACCAGGAACCTGCTCCTCCCCCTCCCCAAAAAAAAGAGTGCCATTTGTTAATAAGGAGCAAGAGAGGAGGCCTTAAAGCAGAACTTCCCTTTTAGGTGAAGCTCCGCTTTAAGGTTCCCATTCACCTGCAGCGCTGATGTTTTTTCTTTGTGATGTTGAGTATGGAGAGGACAGCATTCCCTCAATGTGGTAATACATCTAGACATCTGTGGAGCCTGATGAATTTGTAAAGGCTGAATGGACACAGCAAGTCGGAAGTATCAGACTGTACCTGACACACAAATACACTGATCTGACAAGTGCACGAGTGTGAAGGAGCCCTAAGAGGGAAAAAGTACAAGGTACTTCGAGATATCGGGAAGTTTATGACTTTCTCCCATCCCTCCAAGCAGCACTGGATACCCGAGAAGCTAATGGCTAGATGCAAGTGCTGGCAGGGAGAAAGTCCTTAAAGTGGAACTAAACCCTCCAATCCTTTAAAGCCAAGGAGGCTGTCATTTTAGCCTCTATTTTATCTGCAGATACCATGGTGCTGCACATGTGATCAGTTATGACCAGGGGCGGACTGACCATTTGGAAACTCGGGCACTGCCTGAGGGCCCGGGGTCAGTAAGGGGCCCCACGAGATGCCCCTGGTACCTTTTTCATAGGCTTTTTTGAGTTTAGGCAAGGACACAGGGGCCCCATGATCCCCTATTGCTCGGGGGCCCCATGAGTTGTCAGTCCGCCCCTGGTTATGACACCAGCCATTTGATGTCTGAACGGTTCAATAAAGAATACAAGCAGCTATGAGCAGCTATCATTTACAACCTGCCTTGAATATAACTGTTTTGGGAAATAGTTAAGTTGAAGGGTTTAGTTCCACTTTAACTTTATGTAAGCTCAGAGTGAATCATAGTGAAGCTTACATAGAGCATGTTCACTCCAGTGGCTGAACACATTGCTAAGAAGGAGGGGTGGGGTGGCTGTAAGCTCAGAACTGAAAAGGTAAAGAGGTGTGGATTAACATATTGAGCCTGTTGCTTCATTCAGATGTGGCAAAGCACAGGCTAACTTTAAGATAAACACTGCAATAATAACTCAAAATCTTAAAAATACATTATACCTTCCCTTTAATATAACAGCCAGAGTTTTCTTGACTGCACTTGCACTTTTCTATACCACCTATATGGGTGGCTACTTGAGTACACATGTTTAAATAAACTGTGTTGTTTGGAATATGTAACACAGACTCATTGGGGCAGAAGTGCAACGTTCTACGGTGATTTATTATCTAAGACTCTCTAGGCCAAAAAAAAAAAAAAGATTACAGATTATTCTCGTCCATTAATCCCTCCTGGCTGGCATCTGTCCTTGTTTTCTTTAGAACATATACAAAAGTGCTGATAATAGTTAAAGACATAGAATCTACAGTTCCCTTGCGTTTTACAAGAAAAGAGACACTTTACCTTTTATGGGGTGCTTGAAGGTTTCTGCCTCTCTTCTATATGTAAACTTAGACCGCAACTTGATAGATTTTATGTCTGGACATTGAACGCCACGTGCAGATCTGAGAGTATCTATTTCTCAGCCTCAATTATATTCTTTTCTTTTATATGTATAGATGTAGATAATATCCATAAAAAGTAGACCAAGGTTATAGTCTTATTAAATCTGAACATTACATGTGAAGGAAAACTCTAGCTTCATTAAAAAGTACAATATCGTCTTACACATTGTTTTATATTTAAAGTATATATAAAACCAAAACTGTTTAGTCTTGTATAGAGTGAAAGAGAGTTAAAACCACTGCTATTTGCTATCTACAGTATGTCCAACTGGGGAAATATCCTTTCACTTCCTGCCCTGTGGACACAACAGGAAACAAGAGAAGATCTCTCCAAATTCAGAACAATCCTCACTTAAACTGGCAATGCACTGTGTGGAATTCCTCTGGTTCCTTATGAACCATCTGAAATTTGCTTCATGGGTGACCCCATCAGCCTCCTCCCATCCAACATCCTTCGATTAAAAAATCAAAGGATCCGGTTGGAAGATTGTTGGCCAGTCAAATGCAGCCACTGTTTGGGTATTTTGATACTGTGGTGGCTGTCAGAATACAATTAACAACACTAATAGCATGGATGGAGGAATCTGTTAGTATGGCCAGCTGTAGACAGTTGTCACCACAAAGGTTGCCACCAATGGAATACTTCCTCCTTTTTCTTGGTCTGGTGACAGCAGAAAAGTGAATCTTCCCTCAGTCCTGAGAACAATGGCTACTAGGACAAACAGAGAAAAGGAAAGCAAACATATTGTATCCACACAACAAGAGTAAAAAAAACAAAAACATTCTAAATATTTATTTTCTAACTTAGCTCCTGACAAAGTGATGATCAACCACAATACATATGAAACATCTGTCCTTTACTTTTTAATAGGAACTTGTATATGGTTTACTCTAGTTGTCAGGATCTGGATCTGACCCTGGAACCTCTGCAGTGTCTTTCTGTGTCACTTGAGATTCTGGACAGCTGTGTCACCTGAGATTCTGGACAGATCCTTGCCTGATTCCTTGGACATCCTTGCTTTGTGTATTTTTTTCTGGTGAACCTTAAACCCTTTGCTCCTCCCATGAACTTCCTGATTTAAGCCATGTGTTTTCACTTCCTCTTTGCCAAATTATTGTGTCTCCAGTCAATACTTTGCTCCTTCCACTCTTGCTGCCATCTGTATCTTCACTACCACTCATTACCAACCTTTGGCTTGTTCCTTGACTTCGATTATGCTTGATTCCAGCCTGCAGCTATCTATTACTGACCTTGACTATGTTTTTGCTTGCTCTCAACCTGCAACCACTTTTTACCCGCCTTTGGCTTATTTACTGACTATGTTTCTGCTTGATTCCTACCTGCTACATCAGCCTCCGGACTTTCTGGTGGTGCAACCTTGGGGACCATAACTTAGCACTAGTATGCAGCAAAACCCATCTCCACCATCAGAAGCTCTGGTGAAGACCGGTTAGTCCTTAGATCCCAAACCTTGGGTGAACCTGAATTGGCTGCTTCCCTTCACTACTCATATGGTCGCCCTCTCTTCAACATCCAAATCAGAAAATATGTCACTAGCACACCAAGCACACAATAAGGATCTCCACAATGGGTCCAAAACTTTATTCAGTGATCACATCATAGTTACAGAAGCAACATCTCAGAGCCTTGCAGGACCCCTTCAGCAAGCATGTGATGGTCACTTCCAACTGGTGGTCGCTGCAGTACCCACTGACATCCACAGCTTTTTCTTAGGAATGTGTGCTTTGGGATTATTGTGTTTGGACTCTCTCCAATATCTTCACCTACAATACAGGAAGATGTAATAAACCATGCACATTTCAGAGGTGGAGGAGAATGCTGTCTGCCAACTGAATGAGGAATAAGGTAAGTATTCCTTTACTTGAGACCTCCCCTAGACCTGGGGTTGGGGGGTGCACTTATGCTTTTATGGATGACAAGTTCAGCTTTAAAAACTAGGGTCTTGCCCACACCAGGGAATTTCTTGTATTGTAAGTAAACTTACATACATTTTAGATGCCTTTACAATGCATAGTGGTATATTTCTATTGAGTCCTGTACTATGCAATCACATGCACTGACAGCACAAAAAAATGCTTATTTTGGATATTCAATAGACTAAAAATATGTTAAATCCTGCTTATGTGTAGTGTTCTCAATACATTCAAATATGCACATGACCAGTAGCGCTGTGTACACACTCTACCACAGAGATCATATATTTTTATCATTTTTGTACATGTTTTTATTAATATAAAATATTACTTTCATAGATGTATTGCTATTCATAAAAACACCTCATGCCAGACAATTCTCCATAGTGTCAACTTGAGAAGACCATAGAGGATAAATTTCTATAATGTTTACACTTTTATTATCACTTTTTTTTCTAGGTAATCCTATAGTCTCCGTTCCAGATCTCAAGATGTGGCGCGTTGTGTGAGATCACATTTCAGACTGCAGCAACTGTTAATTTTAAGAGATCCAAGGAAGGTGACATTGTTTTTTCCACCTGCAAGCCAAACACAACTCTCCATCCCTGAAGTGTGTTGTTTTTTTCCAGACTTTGAAGAGGCAACGTGTCTTTAGTTACTGAGGTGTCCACAATGTTAGGATCCAGAATTTTTTAACAAAAGGGACTTGGTGTCCAAATGCATTGATATTGTTAACAGGTAAAATACAGTTGCAAGAAAAAGTATGTGAACCCCTTGGGATTACGTGGAGTTTTGCATGAATTGGGCATAAAATGTGCTCTGAACGTCATCTAAGTCACAACAATAGAAGAACACAGTCTGCCCAACATAATACTACACAAACATTAGATGTTGCCATGGTTTAATTGCACATAACATGTAAAAATTCACAGTGCAGGGAGGAAAAAGTATGTGAACCTTTGGACTTAATAACTGGTTGACCCTCCTTTGGCACCAATAACCTCAACCAAACGTTCCCTGTAGTTGCAGATCAGACCTGCACAACGATCTGGAGTAATTTTGGACCACTCCTCTTCACAAAACTGTTTCAGTGTAGCAATATTCTTGGGATGTCTGGTGTGAATCGCTCTCTTAAGGTCATGCCACAGCATTTCAATCCGGTTGAGGTCAGGACTCTGACTGGGCCACTCCAGAAGGCGTATTCTGTGCTGTTGCAGCCATTGTTTTGTTGAATTACTTGTATGCTTTGGGTCATTGTCCTGTTGCATCACCCATCCTCTGCGGAGCTTCAGTTGGCGGACAGATGGTCATACGTTTTCCTGCAAAATGTCTTGATAAACTCTGGAATTAATTTTCCCATCAATGACAACAATCCGTCCAGGCCCTGAGGCAGCAAAGCAGCCCCAAACCATGATGCTCCCTCCGCCATGTTTTACAGTGGGGATGAGGTTTTGATGTTCGTGTGCTGTGCCTTTTTTTCTCCACACATAGTGTTGTGTGTTCTTCCCAAACAACTCAATCTTGGTTTCATCTGTCCACAGTATATTTTGCCAGTAGTGCTGTGGAACATCCAGGTGCTCTTTTGCAAACTTCAAACATGCTGCAATATTCTTTTTGGACAGCAATGGCTTCCTCCGTGGTGTCCTCCCATGTACTCCATTCTTGTTTAATGTTTTCCTTATTGTAGATGTGTCAACAAAAATGTTAGCATGTGCCAGAGATTTCTGTAGGTCTTTAGCTGACACTCTGGGATTCTTCTTTACCTCATGCAGCATTCTGCGCTGTGCTCTTGCAGTCATTTTTACAGGACGACCCCTCCTAGGGAGAGTAGTAACAGTGCTAAACTTTCTCCATTTGTAGACAGTCTGTCTTACCGTGGACACATGAACATCAAGGCTTTTGGAGATACTTTTGTAACCCTTTCCAGCTTCATGCAAGTCAACAATTCTTGATCGCAGGTCTTCTGAGAGCTCTTTTCTGCGAGGCATGGTTCACATCAGACAGTGCTTCTTGAAACCAGTAAACCCAAAACAGGTGTGTGTTTTTTAAGGGCAGGACAGCTGTCAGCAACACATCCAATA